AAGCTGAAGAAGAAAGAATCAATGAATTTGAAGAAATAAGACCAAAATCTGTTCAAAATGAAGCACAGAGGGAAAAAAAGACTAAAAAATGATCAGAGGCTCAGTGAACTGTAGGGTAATTCTAAGTGGTCTAACAAAAATGTAATCGGACTCAAAGAATGAGAGAAGATGATGGTAAGACAGAGACAATATTTGAAGAAATAATGGCCGAAATTTTCCCAATTTGATTAAAATTATAAATCCACACAAGAAGTTTAATGAATCCCTAGCAAGAAAACTCAAAAACACACACATGAATAAAACACAAGGCACATCTTCATCAATGAGATGAAACCAGTGACAAAGAAAATATTTTAAAAGTAGCAGGAGAAAAATAAAGACACATTTTATATAGAAGAGCAAAGAAAAGAATGACAAGCTTCTTATTAGAAAATATGAATGGCCAAACACACCATTGTTAAAATGCTAAAGAAAAAAATGCTGTCAACTTACAATTCAATATTTCAAAAATATACATTAAAATGAAGGAAAAATAAAGACTTTCTAGATAATTAAAAGCTGAACTTTACTGTAAGATATGTTAACGGAAGTGTTTTCAGGCAGAAAGGAAATAATACCAATTTAGAGCTACACTTGGAATGAGGAGCACAGAGAATGGTAAGTACGTAAAAGCAAAATAATTTTTTCCCATTTTACAGTTTCTTTAAATTCCTGTTAAAGCATAAAAATAGCAAAATACTTTTAGATTTTTAACATAAGTAGAAGTGAAGTGTTTGACAATAGCACAAAAGTGGGAAATAGATGTGTCCTGTATAATTAGAAGATAAATGGTAATATGTTAAAGGGATATTTATAGTTATAAAATCTTGTAGTAGAAGAGAAGAAAGATCTAAGCAAATCTTAGTTTCTATCTTAAGAAGCTGAAATAGAGAGCAAATTAAACTCTAAACTCAAAGAAAGTAGAAGGAGAAAAATAATGATAAAAACAGAAATCAATGAAATAGAAAATCAATGAAATCAACGGCTGATAGTTTGACAAGCTTGATGACATAATAAACTGATCAAGACAAAAAGAGAAAAGATACAAATAACAAATATCAGGCAAAAATGGAGAAACTACTATAGATTCTACAGATACCTAAGGGCTGGTAAAGAAATATTACGAAAAAGTTTATGATAAAGTTGACAATTTAGATAAAATGGAAAAAATTCTTGAAAAGATGAAAATTATGAAGTTATTGAAATTTACCCCACAAGTAACAGAATATCTGAATAGTCCTAGATCTAATAAAGAAATTGAAATTGTGAGAAAATCCCAAGCTCAGATGGCTTCAAGCATGAACTCTGTCAAACACGCAAGGATGTTATGCATGTTTTGTGTAGGCAAAACAAAATGGATGAATGTCAAAAACCTTATGCTAAATGAAAGAAGTCATACATAAAATAGTACATATCCCATGATTCCATTTATATGAGATTCTGGAAAATACAACTGTAATCTACAATGATAGAAAACAGGTTAGTCATTTCCTGGGGCTGGATTCAGAGGTTACTGATAGCCTGGGCCCAAGAGGAATGGGCCCAAGGTAACTGGAGATGGTCTATATCTTGATTATTGGTGAAACACAGTATATAATTTGTTAAACTCATGAAAATATGCATTTAAAATGGGTGTGTTTTAAGATGTGAATTACCTCTCAGTGAAGTTGATAGTAGAATGCAAAAAACCAACAGTATCAAACTCAGACTCTTTTCCTGGATGTGGTATTTCAGCTTACTATTTAGTTCTAACTTCCAGTGGATTGGAGGAAAGTGACTTTAATTTTTGATCTAATAGTTCACTCATTTTTTAAAAAACCACTGTTATTAGCCTTTCACTTGACAAGTATACATGTTGTTGGATGGGGAGGAGATGAAAGGAGATGTAAGAGATGCAGACACATTTTTAAGGCTATTTTCCAATTATAAGAACTTTATTTTAACTGATAGTAGCAAGTCAAATGGTTCAAGTCACTGGTTCAATTCAGCAAGATATTTTGTTCGAGGATTATCCTATGATAATCAAACAATTGGATCTGTATAATGGAAGCTCTGAAACTACTAAAACACAAATCTACAGGATTTGCAGTTTACATTCTAACGCAAGAGAAACCTAAATTAAGCCCCAGCATTTTTAATAAATGTTCAAAATGAAGGCTTACAAAAATCAAACTGAAATCCTTGCATGAAAACCCAATAATTTATTCTATATTTTTCTAGTCTGATAAGAAAATTGCAGCTAGTCTCCAAAATAACTGTAATCCTTCATGTGGAAATTGAAAGTTTCAAAGAGAAGATTGATCCAGTGTTTTCTCTTTTGCAGAGAGAATGAAGTTATTTGGATGCCAGAGAAACTAACAAGAAGGGAGATTCTGGTTTAAGACAAAATGATGCATCATTTGATGTTAATATTTCAGAGAAGATACTCTATCTTTGACACAATAATTAAATGAGACTTGATCTCATGACAAAATGTATTGCTAACTTATTTATACTAAAGATGGTTGCTATAAAATTTTTTTTATTGCAGTAACATTGGTTTATAACTTATTTATACTAAAGATGGTTGCTATAAAATTTTAAGTTGAAAAACTTGCTGAGTTGATGTAAGTGATCTAGTCAAACTATTCAAATTTATTCTGTTCTATTATTCTCCTTTTATTTTTTTCTGGAGACCAAACTTCAAAAAGTAATGGAATATAAGGATAATTATAATTACAAGATAACAATGCCAATTATATCTTTCAACTGAGAGACACTCTACTTCCTTTTCATGTGTTAAATTTTACAAAAGAACAAACTTGTATAGTTCAAACAATACTTGAATGAACGGTAATCGAGTTTCATGCCCCATCAGCCAGTCAAATGCAAGGATATTCCCAATTATTGTCCCAGAACACAAAGCACTGATTTCATTATATTCAACATAGAACAATGTTCTTTGGAGCTGCTGACCTTCTGAGCTTTGAGAGACTGAATGAGGACAAATATCTTTTAAAATAAGCAAGCTTTCAGAAGTTTCATCTAACAAAAGCTGCTGGTAGAATTAAACCCCACTCTAACATTCTAAAAAGCTTAAGATAAATACCTGTATATTTCCAGCATTAGCAGAAACTTGGAGGTGAAATAATTATGCTTTAACTCAACTCTCTGACTTTCCAGTTGTGTGGGTATGAAACTGATGATGAAGGAGTTCAAGTTTCCCTGGATTAGGATGGAACTGTGCTTGTACCCACAAGGTTAACCTGGGAGACCAAGTAACCGAAGTTCCTGAGCCTGCCTTGCAGAACAGCAGGAGGACTGCTGATAAGAGAGGAACTTGCTGACAGGCCCCCTGCCTGACTAAGCATCCTGCAGGAGCATTGACAAGCTAAAATGATGGATTGTAAGCTTCACCCATCATAAGAAATATGAAAGACAGTCACCCCTGCGCAAAGGACTCTTAGAACTTCAGCCCTCAAGGCCACATGCTCCCCTCCCGGTCTTATTCTCACAGTGTGCTTTGGAAAAACACTTAGAACTGTATGTAGGCAAACTAATCTGTGACCAGTAGAAAGAATAACTTGTTAGCAGGAAATTTATGTCCTCTGCCCAAACTGTTCCTTCTGTCCCAGATAAAGGAGTAACTGAGGTTTTCTTAGATTCCTCGGGATTGTTGCATTCAGCAGATCTGCTATGGAGAAATGCCCAGTGTTCTGCAGTCATCCATCACCTGACACTCCTAGGCGCCCCCCCCCCCACATTTGCCTTATATAAGTCATTTCCAGATCAGTTCTCCTTTAAGATGGGTTTTTTAGGACGATGGTCCACCACCTTCCTATATGCTAGCTCATCACTTATTGAAGTTCTTTCTCTATCATGGCTTGCTTGGCCTTTTATCTTGTGGCGAGCAAATTGAGCCCTTTCTTGGTATCGTGTGTGTGTGTGTGTGTGTGTGTGTGTGTGTGTGTGTGTGTGTTATTGGTCACGTCAGCTCTAGTCATCTTCTTCTTGGTTTTCATGGTAAGAGAAATGATTACTCTGGCCCTGACAAGACAGCCTGCTGAACATCCCACTGGAGAGCAGGGAGGGAGCAGTCAAGCTTGGAGGAGAGTGAAGGCTCAAGAACTGGGGAGTGCTGAGGGGATTTACAGGCTGGATCCCTGCAGATACAATGGAACAGTTTAAATGATTATGCCCAAGGGGGTAATGCAAATGCTCCCTCCCCATTCAGACTAGTCTCTATAACTGAGTACTCACAAGACAAGAGGCAGGATGTCTTAGAGCCAGATGAATGTAGATAGCTCTGATCCACATTCCCACTTCCCCAGCTCCAACCCAAGGCACTCAACACTCTGTAGTCTTCATGATTTCCTCATAACTAGGACCTTCAAACCTCTAGGTTTAGACCACAGTCTCCTTTGCTTGAGATGCTCTTCTACCGTTCTTTACAAATTAGCTTCAAAATCTAGTTAAATGCTACCCTTACTTATAAAGCTTTCCCAATTCTCTCAAGCCGAGTTGGCCATTCTCTCTCCATGCTCTGATAATACTTGATATATATCTCTTTTCTATCTATTCTACTTTGAGTACTGCATTCGAATTATTTGATTATAGACCAATTTTCCTTGCCAGAATGCATGCACACTTTTAGAGAAGTCTGGAAGCTTTTTCATCCTGATTCCCGTGACTAAGCCCTTTACCTGACCTGTAGCAGACAGTGTTTGTTTATTGCACTCAGTCTTTTGAAAAAAGTGTTTTCACATATATTGTTCAGTTTGACATTCACAGTTCTGTGTGGTTTTCTGAGCAAATATTACTAAACCAATCTCACCAACAAGAAAATTGACTGTAAAAGAGTTGTAATTTCCACAAGGTCACTGATACATTGATTTTTGGGAATTAAGCATTATAATGATTGGTTAGCTCCTCTTTTGGGCCTCTCCCCAAACATTCTCTTTCTTCACCAAATTTCCAGAAATAGCCAGGACACCAAAGTTGTTAGATATTCTTCCCATTTGTGTTATTATATTTTTACTGTATGTGTTCTTATTACTTTATAGGAATTGAACTTCCAGCCACCTCTGCCTGCTCCACGACATGAGGTTAAATATGTCCTGGGCTTCAGTCTTAGTAACCCCTGTGTATTTCTTGTTTTGTCCTTATCCACAAAGAGGTTTAACTTGGTTTTGAGCATGGCTATATTTTTTTAATGAATGTTTAAAACTAGGCTGATAGATGTGTGAAAGCCAACTTTTGGAATTGATTTTTTTCTGTTTTTATTTTCCTAATCAATGGTATTGACCACGATGGCCTTACAGTTCCTCTCAACTTGACTAACCTTTGGACTAGACAGGCTTCTTCCTGATTTGAGATGGTGATTTCCCTTTTCTTAGCACTTTACCTTAGGAACTTCTTTCTCTGCCCCTTTGAGGTATGTCTTTTAAAAGTGTCTTGCCAGTTTCGTAATCCAGGAATGTCTTCCTCAAGAACCTGGGAGCCACTGCTTTGAAGTGTAATCATCAAGGAAGACAGCATCCCTATATCCCAGTCTTTGTGGAGGGATAGGAACTCAAATTAGGTAGACTTCTTGCTCCAAGTTGTAAACTACCTCCTGTTACAAAGATATGAGAAAGTTTACTTTTCCTTTGGATAAAGCCAATCAGCATACACAGAAGGCCTATGGATCCTCCTTCACTCAACTCCAGCTCTTAAAAAGTCTTAGGGCTTTACAGTTGAGCTCAGACTGAGTTCAGGCCTCTCCCTCCTATTGCAATAGCGTTGAATAAAGTCTTCCTCACCTGTTTAATTTTTCCAGTGCAATTTTTGCTTTGATAACATACAACTTACTTCAAGACTGTTTGGAAGGAAAACTTTATTTATCAGTCTCAATGAGAAAATTTAAGACTTTATTAGATGTTATTTATAAAGTACTTCACACTTCAAGCTTTCCAAACAAAAAAAGAAAAGAAAAAAAAAACAGATTTAAAATGTACTTTCTAGACTAACATCTCAAAGATTTTGCAAAAACTCATCAGTCTCTGTAGTTTCAATTGCTCATATATGCAAATAGCTTTAAAATTATTTAGCATTTGCTGTTGTTTTCCTGTTGACTGCTTTTGGCTCTGATTATCATTCTATCCTCATATTCTCTCCTCTCAAAGTCTGGAATCTATTGCTGCCACACCTTACAGTATTTATCTTTGGTGTGTACTTTGTTTTTATAAAATACCATTAGCTAGGTAAATACATTTCTTTTTCTTTTGTTTGAAGACTTACTATTTTTTATGAAACATTTTCTATGAATATCACTGATACACCCTAGCTCTTTGAATTCTTTTAATATACAAGTTAGCTATTTTCTTTACCAATCATAAAGAGCCAAGTTTTGTTATGAATATGCCCTATTTAAGACAGATGTATTTTTGAAGTTCTATAAGAAGCTTGGTGCTATTTACTTTGTATTGAAATGTTAGGAGAAATGAATATTTATAAGACAGACAAAGTCAAAACACGGGAAAAGGACACAATATAAATGTTTCTAGGGCATTATTAATTGAAGACTATCCTGAGATTTATTTTTACCAAGTCTTAAGACATTTTATGCAAAAGTAGACTATTCACATCAATCAGGAGTCAGAAATTTTAATTAAGGAAATGTAGCAAACTGTGGCTTTATTTATTCCTGGTTCCCTTTTTCAATTTTGGTATATTTAAGTGTAGCAACAACCAGAATACTGCTATTCCTTGATTTTTTTTCTTATTATTGAAAGATATTCTTTATCAAATCTGATGGAAGACATGACAAATGGTGACAGTACTTAAAGACAGGACCTATAATAAAATATGATGTCAGGAGGAAGTGATAAAATGAAGTGTGCTTATAAAATAGGCACATTTTTGGTTACATAACAAATTAATATCATTAATTTATAACCACACAATATATGTAACATTTTATATTTATTTTGTTTTTCTTATCCCATAATTGGAATCTCCAAAATGGAGAAATAATATAACTATTCACTACCGTAAATAAGCATAGAAAGTAAAGTAGTATTTAATTTTATTCAAAATCCTGTTTTTAGGAACTTATTTCAAATATAAGTGTAAATATGGGTCCCTAGTAAGGAAAAACTTTCTTAGTGCTCTTTCTGGTAAAACGGAGGTGCCTCAGATGAGAGAAGTCTTTTAGATCTACTGATCAGACATGGCTTTCACATAGCTGCAACAGAGGCAGGCCAAATGCTCCCCAATTGTTCTGTTAAGTTAGTTGAAGTCCAGTTCAGTTAATTGAGGTCCATATGACTAAGTCCTGGTCAAAGCATGGAAGTGATGCATGCCACTTCTAGCATGAGCCATGTGACCCCCTACCTAATCATCTGTTCCTTCTCTTCCCTTTCACAGCAACTGTGGGGCACACATGTCAGAGGTGGTACTTTCACACGTTGGAATGTGTTTGGACCTGTGAGGCAAGTTTTGGAGGAGAGTTGCCTAGGAGGTTGCCCTAAATTCACTGGATTTTGATGACAGTGAGAAATAAACCTTTGTTTAGTTAAGCTACTGAGATTTCCAGGATGGGTTGTAGGAACTAGATTACCCTGACTAATACTAATACTATGGCTAAAAGGAAAGTTTTGATGTATGTTTCAAGGTTCAGAAGCTCCTATACAATTATATTTCTGTCTGTCCACATCATTGCCCATTTGCCATTTTTTTGAAAAAAAAAAAAAAAAAACAGAAATAAAAAACACTTGCATGTTCTTTGATCTAACTAGCCCCATCTTTTCCCATTCCTCGCTTCTAAACAGAACCCAGTGAAAGAATTATGTCTGTTTATCCAATTCTGCCAACCCAACTGTGGCTCACTTCAGAGATTATTGAACGAGCTCTCTGTGGATGCTCACGGTCACACTTGAATAAGGCACTGAATGGCGCCAGGTCTGTAGCCTCCAGAGTTGCTGTGGGGTCAGAAGCTCTGTTCAGTCTCATCAGAGAAGTTTCATAGCATTTGCCAGGGCATCAAACCTTCTCTCATTGAAACTGAATGGAGCCTCTGATCCCTGCAGCTCTTCTGTAGGCCACCATCCTGAGAGCACCATAACAATTTTGATTATTATTTTCCTTAGGGCAATGTCTCTTTATGTATCTGCCTTGGTATATTCTGGGGTCCTGCCAAAGAACTTGCATTATCCTCAACTATCTGTTAGCATGGACCATGAAAACCTGGGACTGGGACCTGTCTATACCTGATCTCATATTTTGGAGACTTAGATTACTGAAAGCCAGGCCAACTGCAAATAAAATCTTTTAATAGGAGATAAAAAGTCACTGTACAGTCTAGAGATATAAGGACATATATTTTATTATAATTTAGCTGATTATTGAATACTTTTACCATTTTTATGAAAATTGGAAAAAGGGCTTGAGGAGTACACAGAGATAAGCCTCATAAAATATACCCCTTTACAAAATGATACTTTATGAGATTTTACACATTCTAGCCAATGGAATCCTCAGAGTAATAGATACAACCATTTCAATACAGATTTATCTATCTATCTATCTATCTATCTATCTATCTATCTATCTATCCAGCTATCAATCATTTATCTATCATCTATTTAATCTACCTATCTTTTTCTTAAGATCAGAACTTCATAGATTTGATAATTTATTGAAAAAGACTGCACATATTTCTCATTTTGGAACATCCCAACTTCTTCCCATAAAACAAGTGATTATAGCCATTAACCAATATGTATTCTCTTCATTCTGAACCCATGATGTGTCCTATCATGACACAATTAGGGACCCCAGAGCAAGTTTTCTGAGCAAATGCATAAGCAACAAATAAGAACTTAAGTCTAGGCTCAAGGGCCGTTTCCATATCAACTGCTTTCTGGAAAAATTCATTGCCTGTGCTCAGAAAAAAAAAAAAACGTTAATGCCCTGGTTTATAAGGGAACTTGCCTACTTTATCTGCAGGGTTTTTTCTTTATCTGCAGTGTTTTTTCTTTTCCTTTTTTTTTTTTGAGGAAGATCAGCCCTGAGCTAACATTCCATGCCAATCCTGCTGTTTTTTGCTGAGGAAGACTGGCCCTGGGCTAACATCTGTGCCCATCTTCCTCTACGTTATATGGGACCCTGCTACAGCATGGTTTGGCAAGCGGTGCGTCCTGCCAAAGCAGAGCACACACACTTAACTGTTGCGCCACTGGGCCGGCCCCCGCAGTGCTTTTTCTTTTAATTAAAAGTGCACTTTCTACCTTCTATTTGGAGTTTTTTGTTTCTGTAGGATGGGCATGGACCAAATATGAGATGGATTGACTCCATAAAGGAAGCTATAGGCATGAGTCTACAGGAGCTGAGAAGGGCTGTTGAGGACAGGACGTTGTGGGCATCCCTCTTTCACAGGGTCGCCAGGAATCAGAGCCGACTTGACAGCTCCTAACAACAGCACTTGACAGCTCCTAACAACAGCAGGATGGGGAGGCTACACTCTGGCATTTTAAACTCCTGTTGGCTGCTGAAAAACTCACTCCTTGGAGTCCAGACCTTGAAATAAAACCATTCCGTGGTACCTCCTGAAGAAAAATTAGAGTTGAAAATGCCTTCTCCAGTTGCCGATAGTAGCAGCGGCTCAAGAGTCCAATTTAATAACTGCAGGCTCAAAGCACATAAATCTGTTACTGCACTTAAAAAAGATGTAGTATCAGGCCTCCATAAGGTCTACAAGAAGACATAAACATGCTGAAATAACCAAGATTTGAAACACTAGCATGCAATCATTAACGAGCTAATATATATCAAGAATTAAAGAAAACGGTTCCAGACTAAAGGAGACTAAAGAGACATAACAGCTAAAAGCAAAGTTTGATATATATGAATAGAGATATAGCTATAGATTTAATATTTTTTATGTTATAAAGGGCGTTAGTGAGATCGTTGACAAAATTTGAATAAGGTCTGTAGCTTTGATCATAGTACTCCATCACTGTTAATATCCTGATGTTGACGATTGTGTGGTGGTTATAAAACACACTGAAGAATTTAGAGATAAAGGAGGCTCATGTCTGAAACTTACTTTCAAATGGCTGAGAAAAATAATACTGTGAATAATATGCATAAAATTATTTTATATTATATACGTATATAGCATGTATACAATAGGTATATAATATGCTAAAGAACGATAAACAAACACATTAAATTGTTAACATCTAGGGAATCAGGGTGAAGAGAATACGGGAAATTTTTGTACTATTTTTCCAAATTTCCATAAGTCTGAAATCATTCCAAAATAAAACGTTAAAAGGAACAGAAAATGTAGCAGAGCTGTAAGTGCTGCCTCAAAATACCTGTTCCTGTTGATTTCCAGAGTATTGAATAGAATGTGCTATGAAGAGGCACCAAAAACAAGTGACATAGGTCTAAAATTTTCATGTATCTGTACTTTAAAATCATGAGTTGAAAATAAAAATAATTGGAAAAGAATGTCACAGAGTGTAGAGTTTAAGGAATATTATTGATAATTCTCAAGTCTTTTATAATTTTCTCATAAAATATTTTGTCAATTATTCTCTAACAACATATATAATATTAAAATAACATAGAAAACAAGAGAACTAATATCTTACTAGCTATATTTGTTAGGGCTCATTTGTTTTTATTAAGCTCATATTGTCCTTGAAAATTTATAACGTGCCAAGTTCTACGCTGGGTAGGACACGTTAAGAAAAATATTGAGGGGTCCAGCCCAGTGACGCAAGTGGTTAAGTGCGCGCGCGCTCCACTGTGGCGGTCCGGGGCTCGCCGGTTCGGATCCGGCGCGCACTGATGCACCACTTGTCAAGCCATGCTGTGGCGGCGTCCCATATAAAGCAGAGGAAGATAGGCATGGATGTTAGCCCAGGGCCGGTCTTCCTCAGCAAAAAGAGGAGGATTGACAGATGTTAGCTCAGGACCGATCTTTCTCACAAAAAAAAAAAAAGAAAGAGAAATATTGAGAAAGATTAAACTCAGAAAAAAGTCACACGGTTTTGTTTAAAAAATATCTTTTGATGCAAAATGTAAATATTGATTTATTTATTATTTCATTTAACAGATATTTATTAAGCACATTAAGTATTCCAGAAACTGATAGAAAATGATAAACTACTGATAAATGATAACATCATAACAAAAGTGATTGCTTACTTGTGTAAATACTCAAATATGGTAGCACAAAATTCCATGGAATTGCATAGGAAGAGAACTTAATTCAGTCTTGGATGGTTATGGATTGTTCCAAAATATGATAATGTGAAATTTATGACCTGAAGGATGAGTACCAATCAGCTAAGCAAAGGAGTAAGGAGGAGATTGCAAACTAAAGAGATTACATTTTAAATGGACCATAGAACAGAGAAAATGACTTTAGCTTGAAATTGAATTAAACAGATTTCCCTTGAGCATAGTCTATGAAGGTTAGGCAAAGAGAAGTGCTAAACCTGGTGACTCAAACAAATCCAGGAAGGGTTTTGTATGCCATACTAAATAAGTTGGACTTTATCTTCAGTGCTGTGGAGAACCACTAAATGATTTTATGCAGGATAATTTTAAAGTCATATTAATGCTTCAAACTGATTACTATGGCTATATTTTCTCTCTGTCAAGAATGGAGTCAGAGGAACATGTTAGGAGATTACCAAAGAGATGAGGATGGTCTAAATTAAGATAATGGGGATGTAATTAGAGGAAGTATAAAAATATAGAGTTATTGAAGAGAATAAGTCAAAAAGACCTAATTGATTGATGGGAGATGTTGGAGGAAGGAGGAGTAAGCGTTGATATATTTCTTATTTGGGAAAGTAAATATCTAATGATGTCATTCATGGTGAGAGAGAACACAGGAAAAAGAGCAGGAAGGCTAGAAAATGAGACAAGATTTAAATATGCTAATTTAGAATATTAGTTTTTTATGAGTCTGAATCCTAGCTGAATCCTAGTCTGAATTAGAAGTATGACTTTGAAATCATGAGCATGGAAAGTAAAGAATTGAAAGGAGTCGTTAGTTGAATGCTAAATAAAAGAGTCTAGAAGAGAAACAGGAGCTCAGTAGAGCTGGAGATGATCTGATCATCTCTAAGAGGTAGGAAGAAAATCAAGATAACATGGTATTTTAAAAAACAAGTTGAACAAGTATTTGAGGAAGGAGGAAGTGTTCAACAGGACCACATCTGGAGACAAGAAAGGAAAGAAAAAAATTTCAATAGACTGATAAGGGTAGAATCCAAATTGAAGTGAGCTGAATAATTGAGGAAAGTAGAGAAAGCACGGGTAAAATTATCTACAAGACAAGGAGCTTGACTCTTAAGGGAAAGAAAGGAATTGAGTGATAAAAGGAGAGGCAGGTGGGTTCAAAAGATGGAGGAATTTTTGAAGTTGGAAAAGCTTTGAATTTCTATGACCGCCAGTGAAATCTGTATTAGTTTGTTAGGGTTGCCATAACAAGTTACCATACACTGAGTAGATTAAACAACAGAAATTTTATTTTCTCTCTGTTCTAGGGGCTAGAATTCTGAGATTCTGAAATCAAGGTGTCACAGTAAGATTGGTTTCTTCTGAGGCCACTCTCCTTGGCTTGTAGATGGCCAACTCAACCATAAAGCTTTCCTAAAGATTTCCAGAAACTGAAGAAGAAACTTTTGCTGTCATGTTAGAATAGTATCATCATAAGCGTATCATCACTGTGAAACTAATGTGCTTTTATAAACTTTGATTAAAATGAGGAGACTAATTCATATAAGAAAATGTGGAGAATTTTTTCACATTTTTTTAACCTTGTCTTCCAATGAATACTTCCCAAAGACGTCTTTCTCTTGATTATAAAACTAAGGAGGACTCACTGTAAAAAAAAAGGTGGGGGGGGGGGACAAAAACATCAGCAACATGAAAACTAGTAGAAAATTCTCATCTACAATGCCACATCTAAAGAGAAACTTTTAGATTTTTTTAGTACATTATGTTCTAGTATTTTTCCATGCTTTTGTCTTTATGTAGTTAAAATCATATGGAATATTCAGTAATATGTCATTGAACATAAATTTCAAAGGAAAATTACGATGCCATGATAAAACCTTTTCATAAACAAAAATTCAAATGATTGTGTATCACCCCAGTATATAGAAGTATGATTTACTTGTAAAAATTTGGAAAACAAAAATTTAGGGGGAATGCAATCAAGACTTTGGATGAAGACATAGGCATCATAGTTATCAAGTTTGCAGTGGACAATGCACACTGAAGAAGGACACTAGCAAATTTCTATCTATCCCTAGAGGGTACTTTGGGAACTGACTGGAAGTTATTGCTCAGCTGGTCCTATTGACAGTAAAGCCTCAGAATATATATTTGAGCCTGTTCCAGTATCAGACAACATTGAAATGGGGGGAGGAGGCACAATGACCAACTCCTCAGTTTATCTCCACCTGGGGAGAGAGCAAATGTTGACCTTTCAATGACCGAGGAATGAAGGAGGTGGATCTCAACTGGAGATTATTGCCCAGGGGAAATTTATGGATGTTGGTGCCCTGTGCAGTGAAAGCTTCATCACTAGGAGTGTTGATAGACACTGCTGAGTGATCAGACTGGTAATAATGCACCTTTATAGACTGTATTTGGTCGGATGTTGGGTAACCTCTGTTCCAGGCTTTTAGTGTCTACAATTCAATTTCCCAAAAATATGTGGAGAAATCTAGATAAAAGGGATTTGTGAGTAAAATTTGAAATTTTTCTAATTTAGGGTGAAATTTTAAAAAATGGAGTTATTGGAATGGCATGAGTAGATTCTGAGAAAGTAATTATACTCAGTCATGAAGTTGCTATTCTGAGCTTAAAATAGTACAAAATAGTTAACTATTTTAACTAATTTTGTGAAATAAAATCCACTTTACTTCAAGGTTGTATTAAATTTGCATTAATTATGAAATTAAAGAAAAATTGTTTCTTAAGAATTTATCTTAAAGATTTTCTCTAAACCCTATTGCTAGAATAAGCTAATGAAAAATTTCAGGACTCTTCGATTAGCTCTGTAGAGAAAAATATGAAACATAAAAGTGGAAGTGAAGAGAAACAAATAAAAAGAGACGAGAGATAACCACTGAAACACTAAGTTAATTGTTTCACATACATTTATTCTAGCACCTTTGTGAGGCAGGCATTAACGCTGAGTCAGAAATTAAATATATACCTACATATATACATACATAAACATACACATAAACAAACAAACAAACAAACCAAGAGAACTGGTCCCTACCTTGAAGGGAATTCATACTGAGGAATAGGAAACAGATGTGCAAACACATGATTACTACAGACAAAACTTCATAGTACAAGGTATCCTGGTAGTACAGGGGCGTGAAATGTGCTCTGCTGGAGGTTCCAGGGAAGGCTCCCTGGGGCGGGTAAACATGGGGATCCAGGCAAGAGTCCCATCTTGAAGGACTTCATATGCTGGACTAAGGAGGAGGAGGTCTTATTCTATTAACAAGCAGGCTAGAAAAATATGTGTTCTAGAAAGATCATTGGGCCATGAATGTGGGAAAAGAGTTGGAGGAGAAAAGAGAGTTAGGGAACTCAGGTACATTCCTACGGGGAAGCCAATATGGGGTAAAACTCTTCTCTTTTAAAAATAAAATAGCAATAAAACCTTATCCTAAAATAAAAAATAAATAAAAAATGAAATAGTTTTTCCAAATTTCCTTGTACCTTATGTTATACCAATGTTAGCATTCGACTCTATAGTATGCAGAGAGTGGCTATTGTTTCTGTATTATGACACAGAAAACATGGTGTTTTATCATCAATTATCATCAGAAAAGGAGTCAGTAAAACGCTGTTTTCTCCTTGGCACTTTTTAAGGAAACTTTCTGAAGAATAGTCTATTCAGTGGATAATAGGAGACAAATTAGAACTGAGGAATCAATGATGTACACTAGCAACCAAGAAGCAATAATAAATCCTAAATAAATACTAGTGAAATGAAAGTCTTAAGAAAAAATAATTTTAGGAGCTATTAAATGAATACTTTTTTTGGAGTTAAAATGTAATCTACAAAATAGTATATTTTGTGAGATTATTTTCAATTTTTCTTTCTTAACACATGATCCACTTCTGAATAAAAATTTGATGCACTTTGCTGCATTTGCTTCAATAGAAAGGAAATTCTCCTAGACTTTCTATTGTAAAGTTAGTTCTATACAGTTAATAATATAATTCATAATAACTTTCCCATCAAACTAGAGAGAGATTTTCCCCATGGAGTTTATTATCTGTTCATTACTGCACTGTCAGTGGAGTAAAGCCTGTTATTTTGTTCTAAAGTTGTTGCTTGACTTTTCAGAAATGACTAATGATTTTGTGACCAAATATCCAAGGCATCTAACATTTAGGCAGGAAATTTGAAGAAATGTATTGTTGCCATGATTGCAAAAGATTCAGCTTAAACAATGGTGAAACCAAATGTACAAAAATTTTAAGAGAACAGGTAACTCTTGGAGAGTTGAAGGAGTCTAAGATAGGTCCAGTTCTCAAGGAGTAAAAAGAGGCAAGACTTTTGTGAAACTTAATACCAAATTACACAAAGAAAGAAGAAATCCCAGTTGGAAGGAACTGACTGGAATTAGCAGACGGTAAATGTAGAGTACAAAGACGAATTAAGTATCCTAAATTCTCATTATCTATCGATGTACTTTATAATTATACCATGAAAGGACAACATCCCTTAGTTTTATTCTTAGCATTTTCTGTATATTTCATCTCAGCTATTTCCTCAGTGCTTAAGAAAATTTCTCTACCAACTTACTTCAAACCTTTAGTCACTGAAATAAAACTTGAAGTATTGTTCAAAAATGTGAAACCTTAGGAAGAAATAGTTTTAAAATAAATGGGATTTTTTTAAAAATAAAAATAATATTTTTAAGCATTTCAAATAAATTAATTTTTATCCTCCAATTTATATCATCTCTGACTATTTAGATGTCTTATTGAATTTATCAGAAGATTAGAAAAAAAAGTGAAAGAATTCTGCAGACTTTTGCTTTGGGCTGAAAGCAAATGATTATTTGCCTTTCATTCTAAGTGAAGAAACTCACAATGCTATCTTTTATTATAGGTTAGCTTGCCCTATATCCACAATCAGACTAATTTTCAGAATTATTTTGTATTCAAGGATACCAGAGAGAAAATGAACAGGAACAACAATCAGGAAAAGGAATAAAAAAAGGAAGAGAACTTTTATTGCTATGCTAACGTATTATACGCTTACCCCTGTTCTAAACCCTTAAAATATTTTTTCGTACTTCTTTTTTTTTGCAACAAATGTGCTGAGAAATATCATTATTCTCAGTTTACATAGGTGGAATCTGAGCCTCAGAGCTAAGTAACTTTCGAGGACCAATGGTAATTTTAAAAAGTGGGTTTAGGGGCCAGCCCTGTGGCACATGCTCCGCTTTGGTGGCCTGGGACTCGTGGCCTGGATCCTGGGCACAGACCTACACACCGTTCATCAAGCCATGCTATGGCAGCATCCCATGTACAAAATAGAGGAGGATTGGCATATATGTTAGCTCAGGGACAATCTTCCTCACCAAAAAACAAAAAAAAAAAGTGGGTTTAAGATTTGCGTCCAGATCAGTCTGGAGCCATCAACATGTGCACTGTGGTCAACTGTTTGGGCAGAGGGGAAGTTTGCTTTGGGATGGATGGAGCAAGCTGGGTAAAAACTTATTTGAATAAAAAAAAGGATGATGCAGGGATCCTCCTAACAGCATATTTGAAGGGAAGAGATTCTTACTGTCCGAGATTCAGTTCTGAGGCTGAAATAATTTTTTTATTCATTTTGGAAGAGTCTTAACAGAACATGTATTATGTACTAGGCATGTGCTAGAGGCCAGAAGTACAGAATAAAACAAGCACCATTCCTAAGCCAGAGAAGATCATAGCCTAGTTGGAGACATCACTTGGACCGTACTTATTGGTTGCCATGACAGTCAATTATGTAATTAGAGTGGTTCGAAGATCTCTTGGGAGAAATGGGTAAGGTGCCACCAACTCTAGGAGAGGTAGGAAATATTTACAAAATGATAAGACTAGAACTGACTTTGAAGTCTGAGTAAGTTGGCTAGGTATAAAAAAGGGAGAAAGTATTCCAGGCAGAGGGAATGGTATGAATAGCGACACAAGAGAAATGTTTAACTGTTTAAATGTAATTTACATCTGCTCTGAATAGGGAATATTTTTTTTTCCATGGTTTTTCTCCAGAAAGAAATAACTAATTCTTTTTTTTCTAATTTTTTTTCCCCCCAAAGCCCCAGTAGATAGTTGTATGTCATTGTTGTACATCCTTCTAGTTGCTGTATGTGGGACGCGGCCTCAGCATGGCCAGAGAAGCAGTGCGAAGGTGTGCGCCCGGGATCCGAACCCGGGCCGCCAGCAGTAGAACGTGTGCGCTTAACCGCTAAGCCACGGGGCCGGCCAGTGAAATAACTAATTCTTATGTGGCAATTTAAATAAGGTAAAAAAAGTCCTTAAGGTTATTCAGTTTTGAAGAATTAAACATAGCAAGAAGGGAAAATTGACAGAGACACTACACTAGACTGGTGGAAATTAATCTAGAATAAAATCAAGCTGCTGACTTCTCTGCTAGGATAAATTACAATTTTATCCTATGTATATGTAAAATACTATCTATGTATGGAAATCTCTCTTTCCTAAATATAAGGAAAACATGGTCACTAGTTCATTTACAGCACAATCCCTTAAATTATAATTATTACAATTATTTTGTATGTTTCATATTTAAACTTGTCTGGCAATAAAAAACCATAGTTAATCTAAAAGCAATACCTGGGGTGGATAAGTCTAGATTAGATGATTGCATGAGGTAGATAATCAAAAGAAATTCACTGTAAATGTAAATTTCACCCTGTCACTGATTAGTGTTTCTGGTTTATAGAAGCAGCAAGAAATTCTACAAATTTTATGTTATTTACTTCAAGATTTTGAAAAATCAAAAAGCAAATCACTCTGTTTTTGCAAATCTGTAGCTTGTCAACTAGAAAGGAACTGTTCCACGTTGAATAAAATCCAGGTTGGTTTCTCTTCTGAGATACTAACTGCTGATTTCTGTGAAAGTAGGAATTCGCACTGGAAGTTTGTCAACAAGATAGTATCAGAGTAGGAAACCTTTCCAACGGAAGGATTCGAACAATGAGGCAGAAAAATGGTAGCAGGATGAGAAATGGTAAAAACACAAAAACAAAAACAAAACCCATATTTTTGGTTGCAAAGAAATAGTCATATTAGTAATCATGGTAGTAGATTGGAAGCAATTTTATGATCAGAGCCCTCAGATCCTGTGAGCTCCAATATGAATGAAAGAAACAGTAAGAAAAGATGAGTTCACCTTAAATTTTTAAAAGGATAATGACATATAATCCTTCAAAAACTAACGAAGAAGAGAATCCATTTATTCACATTGTAATAACAAACTATTTCTTTTAACCCATTTTTGAGGGCAGAATATTTCCCTTTTTAATTTCTTTTCTTCTCACTCTGTAATATATCTGATAAATTGAAGACACTTTTCTACTTAATTATCCTATTACGGACTCCATGTCAATTTCATTTAGTGTCATTCACAGTAATCAATAAAATGTTCCATCAGAACTTTTGATATCATATCAAAGTTTAATCCCAGCTCTCATCAATCAGCTTGTTTAGTGTAAGAGTCTGCAGAACACAGGGGAATATAGAGAGCTTTTCTACCTCTCAACAGCCTCTTCAGTTTATTCCCTTCTTACTCACATTCCTTAACAGTGGAGACAAGATTAGACTCCTGAGGCTTTAGTCTTGGTTTTGAGGGAACTGTGGAAGGCTTATTGTTCTACTCATAAATCAAACTGTCTATGATCCACTTTATGGTTAATAGTAATGGATGGTATTTTGAACTTGCTTACTCAAAGGTACTGAATTAAAGCCTCCTATAAATTATTGATCCAAAATGTCGACAGAAATATAGTATGAACTTGAAAGTCAACATCCAGGGCTGTTGAGAAAATGGAGGGATTGTTCTTAATATTTAATTCTCTTCTTACACTGAACTTGTAGTAGGTACACTATATACTTACATACTGGTTCAAATAACTTAGTAGTATATAATATGTTTTTAGTTTATTGGGGTTTTTTTTCTTTCTTTTTCTTTGTAGTATAACTTAAAATCCAAGAGCATGTAGATAGATATATCACTATATACAACAAACACGTCACTTACATAAATTGAGAATTTGAAATTTACATTTTCATGATAAATCCACAGGATTCCCAACATTAGGGCTTAATTGCTGAAAGGGACTCTGCCTCAGTTTCTTGGCCTCATATTCCTGTTTATTTATTTATTTGAGGAAAGTAATTTTAAAATTATAGACCACTTAGAAAATATGGAAAAATACAGAGACTAGTATGAGGAATATCCATGTATCCACTACCAATCTTAACATGGATCCTGTTTGTTTAATGTCTTTTCATAACTTTGGTATACAATATTTGATACATAAAGAGAATACATGTAACACAAGTGTAAATTAAGAAGTAAAATGATGAAACAAACACTCATAAACCCAAGCTACCTATATTCTCTTGCACTATCCCATTCCCTTGCTTCAGCTCTTTTTTCCTAAGAAATAAAATATTTCCAGTTTAGTTGATACCCCCATGTGCTTCTCCCAGTTCTCTTTCCTTTCTTCTCCACTATCTTGAATTTGCTGTCTATAATTCCACGTAGTTTCTTTTTCCTAACACTTTTATAACAAATATGTGAAACTCTAAACAATGTATATTCATTTTGCATAACATTTATTCAATTGATACTTGGAATTTCAGTTAATTTTATCCATATATTAAGTGAATATATCAATATTATTTATCCCCTTTTCAGTTGATAGTATTTGGATAGTGATATATATATCATATAATATAATAATATATAGTATAATATACAATATATTAACAATATATAATAAAAAATATATTTTTTTGCTGTTTGTGTTAATGCTTCTATGAACATTCTTATGCAAGTTGCACACAAATGTTGATGTTTCTCCAAGGTAAAGGTTCTTGACTTTGCACACTGAAGTCATCTGGAAAGTGTTAAATTCTGATGCCTGAATCTCATCCCTGGAGATTCAAGCTTAATAGGTCTGCAGAATGTCTTGGGCATTGGGATTATATTCAAGTTCCCCATGCTGAACTGAGTTTGATTTAGGGTTATGTGTCTAGAATTATTAAGTTGTAGGTAATATGTATAAACATCTTCAGCCTTTCCATATATTGCTACACCGTTCCTCCAAATCGGTGTACCATTCTACACTTCTAGCAGAATTGTATGAAAATTCCCTTTTCTTTCTATCCTCGTCAACACTTGATATTGTCAGGCTTTTACATTTCTGCCAATTTAAGTAAAGTGAAACATTTTTACCATCTATTAGTTCTAACTTGCCCTTTGCCTGATCATTAACAAGAATAGTAAATTTTCAATTTTATTGGCCATTAGGTTTTTTGTTGCATGGATCATCTCTCAAGACTTTTATGCATTTTAATTAGTGAGCTTTTTTCTTTCACACTTAAGTCATTAATCAATTCTGTATTGTTATTTGTGTATTGTGTAAAAGATCTAACTTAAAAAAAAAAACATTTCTATATGAATGACTGTCTCAGCATCATATTGTTAAATAGCCCATCCTTTCTCCACAGACGTGCAGTGTCACTTCAATGGTATATCAAGTTTCCACATATGTGTGGGTCTGTTTCTTGGCTCCCTATTGTGTTTCGATAGTTTGTATATCCCTGCATGAATGAGACACTTCTATAATGATGGCTTTGTTATAACTATATCTGTTAGAATAAATCCCCTAATCTTCTTTAATGTTGTCTTGGCTGTATTTGATCTTTTGTTCTTCCTTACTAATTTTAGAATTAGCTGATCAAGTTAAGATTTTGATGGTAATTGCAATGAATTTAGAGATAAATTTGAGCAGACTTGCCATCATTATAAGATTGGATCATTTTATGGGTGAGGTAAATAATTCTATTTATTTAGATCTTTCTTTATGGCTTCCAATAAGTTTTTATTATACTCTTTCTAGAGTAATTACATCATTTCATTAGATTTCTTTGTAGATGGCATTTAATTTTGTTGCTATTACAAATGTCTTTTTAAAAATTAGAATTTTTAATAATCACTTGTGGCGTATAGGAACATAACTAATTCCTGTGGGTTGATTTTTAGTCCAATAAACTTATTAAACTCTCTTATTAGCTCTCACAGTTTTTCTGTACATTTGATTGGATTTTCTATGTAGACAGTAACATTGTCTGTGAGTAGTGAAAGTCTTAATCTTTATAGCTTATTTTGTTTTACTGTTTACTGGACTTAAAGAAAATTTTAGACAGAAACAGTGCTCAAAATAAATCCTAGAAATGTCCCTGACTATTTTTTTCTTTTACTCTAAAGTCTCTTTTGTCTGATACTCATTTAAGCAGCTTACTTGTAATTATTCTCCTCTAGTTTTTCTTTTCCTTCCTTTTACTTTTAATCTTTGGTATTCTTATATTCTTGATGTATTTCTTGTGATTCACACATATCTGGATTTTGTTTTTATCCAGTTTGATTAGCTACAATCTTTTTTTAAAACAGAGTTTTATTGCAATATAATTTATATACCATAAATATACCATTGGAATATTATATATATATATATATATACCATAAAATTCACCTGTTTTACGTGTACAATTCATTTTTGTAGTGAATTTACAGAATTGTGTAATCATCACCACAATCTAGTTTTAAAGCATTTTCCTTTCCCCTCAAAGATCCCTTTCAGCTTTTATGAATAGTGCTGCAATGAACATTCACATACAAATCCTCGTGTGGACAAAGGTTTCATGTCTTAGGCAAATGCCAAGGAGTGCAATAGCTGGGTCTGATAGTAAGTTTAACTTTTGAAGAAACTGCAAACTGTTTTACAAAGTGACGGCACTGCATTTACATTCCCACCAGCAACTATGAGGCTTCCAGTTTCTCTACTTTCTTGCCAACATTTGTTATTGTCTGTCTTTGATTATAGCCCTTCAAGCACCTGTGAAGTAATATCTCATCGTGGTTATAATTGGAATTTCTCAAGTGACTAATGATATTGAGCATCTTTTCATGTGTTTGTTCACCATTCATATATGTTTGGTGAAATGTCTATTCAAATATATTTTCTCTTTTTTCTTTCTTTTTTTTTGCAGAGAAGGATTCACCCTCAGCTGACATCTATTGCCAATCTTCCACTTTTTTTTTTTTTTCTCCCCAAAGCCCCAGTGCATGGTTGTATATCCTAGTTGTAAGTCTTTCTAGTTTTTCTATGTGAGCCACCACCGCAGCATGGCAACTGACAAGCAGGTGGTGTGGTTCCACGACCAGGAATCAAGCCACCGAAGCAGTAAGAGCACAGAACTTTCACCACTAGGCCATCTGGGTGGCTCTATATTTTCTAGTTTTTAATTGGGTTGTTTGCCTTATTATTGAGTTGTAGATATTCTTTTTATGTTTTTTAATAAGTCCTTTGTGTATGATATGATTTGTAAATACTTCCTCTGAGTAGGTGGCTTTTTCTTTCATTTTAATGGTGTCTTTAAGTACAAAGTTTTAAATTTTTGATGAAACAAAATTTATCAGTGTAGTTCTTTTATATATTGTACTTTTGATGTTATATATTTAAGAGCTCTTTGCCTAACTGAAGGTCATGAAGAAGGTCACTTCATGAAGGGCCTAAGATTTCTAATCACTCTCTTTTGGCTGATAAGTTTAGTCCATATGTTTTTGTTTTCTTCCTGTCAGGTTGTTTTTTAGATCTTTCTTTTATCTTTTTTTTTCTTTGGTTTCAACTTGTCAGCAGTGGGAGGATTCATGAGTTGAAAAGTATGTTCATAATAATATAAGAGAATGTCTTTTTCATTCTCATTCTTTCACAGGTGGACAATGGAGGTTTCTCAGAGGCCACAGGACTGTGATATCGCAAGAGATTGAAGGAAGAACAAGATATGAAGATTCACGTATCTTCTCTTAAGTCATATTACAGGGTATTTGCAAAAATGTGAAACAATTGCACTCTTTTCAATAGGAGAAGCTATAGTTATTTTTCTTATAAATATTTGTGTGGAAAGGGTTTTTTATTATTATTTTTTTAACTGATGGATTATAACACTAAAGGAGTACTGAGACCAAAATGTCTGAGAATTGCTGCACTATATTGTGTTTAGTGGATAGTGAGTTTTCTTTTTTATTTGTTTAAGTCCTGCTCAGGGCTAGATGTTCTTTGGTATGAGGGATCATAATGTTCTTCCATTTCTGGAACATCACCCATGATCTCTTCTTCACCTTTCTCTTTATTCTAGCCTTCTGGTACATCTTCAAGACATATTCAGAAACCCTCACAGTCTATCTTCTATACCTCTCTACCTCACTGTTGTAGTTTTTATTTCTATGTCTCTGTAATGCGTTCTGAGTGATTTCTTCACATCTGTTTTGAAGTTTGCTAATTCATCATTTATTTTATTTTATTTTATTTTCTTCTAGCTTTATTAAGGTATAATTGACAAATTAAAAATGTGTATATTTAAGGTGTGCTATGTGATGATTTGATATACATATACATTGTGACATGATTACCATAATCAAGCTAATTAACACATCCATCAATTCACATTGTTACCTTTTCATGTGTGTGTGGTGAGAATAATTCACCATTTGTAGCTGTGTGGGATATGTTGTTTAATTCTTCCACTTGATTTTTAATGACTTGTAGATTCATTTCTAGAAATCATATTCGGTTCTTATGAAAATCTGGTTATTTTTGGTGCTGTTATTTTTTGCCCATTAAAGAAAAGCTTCTGTTTAATCATTTTGACCCCTTTTAAAAAATATTTAGTAACATCATTGTTAAAATTCTTAGGATATAATCCTTTTATTTTATTGCGTCTATAGATTGTCACTTATGGTGTGCTGTTCCCTCATACATTTTGCAATTTGAGACCCGGGCTCATCTTTTCTGGGACTTAATTTAGGAACACTGCATGGCTCTGATTGAGGCTATCAATTAGTTTTGCATTTGCTTCTACCAAGTCCTCTCCAGTTGTATCATTGTCCAGGGATTACTATCATATGAATTTTTTGTATTGTTATTGCAGTCATGTGAATTCAAACTCTGAACCAAAAGGTAGTCAGGCCTGTGGTTCTGAATTCTCAAAGAAAACATTTTATTTTTTCCCACAAAGGGCTCAGGCTGAGAAAAATGTTTTTGTCTTTCGAGGCTGGTAAGCAAGATAGTTTCTAGTTCATCTTTTGCTGAGGGTGAAGGCTTCCAATAGTCTCAGCTTTGGATGATGGTCTCAGTTTCAACTTCCTGACTGAGGCAGACTCTATTCCTACTAGTGTGTTGACATCCAAGCTCTTGGTTCCTGAGATGAGCAAAGGCCCACCTCCTCTAAACTTCCTTCCCAATGATACCACAGGGTCAGCTCATGTGCTTTCCACTATTCTTTCCAGGTCTGCAAAGATTTCCCCAGTTATTTGAAAGGGTTCATCAGATTCCACAGAGCAAACTCACATAAGGTTTCTACTTAAAGGCAAAGGATGGGGTGTTGTAAGAGAAACAGAATGCAGCAAACGTCTGAAGTCCGAGACATCTCATGGGCAAAGTCCTCAAGGGTCCTACGGACTCAGACACAGAGACTGCAACCTGTCTCCAGGTTGAACCTCCAGGATCTGTATGAGGAATTACGGCATTGGGAGAGCTCAAAGAGAAACTTTCAAGGAGGCCCTTAAAGGAATTAAACCAGTCTTATCAAATCAGTTAGGCTAGTTGCAAAACATGAGCAAAGAAGCTGATCCTGGAAGCCACCAGAGAAACGTAAACAGGACATCTTAAACAGTGCATCTGAAGTTCCACTTCCCTTATCTTGGCTCAGAGTAAAAACCAGACATGCAAACCTCCCTAGAGATAAAGGCAGAGCTTTTCGCTCTGTCTCCACAAGATCTCTTTGTTTTGGTTCCTGGAAGTTTCTCTTACTTTTGTGTGAGCTCAGTTATACAATTAAAGGTTGTTTAGGATGATTGTTGTGTTTTATCCAGAATTTTTAGGTGATTTTTAATAGGGGACTTTTCAAGTTATCTAGATGTTACTCAAATCAGTAGTCCTCCATTAGTTTTGACAATGGGAGTGTAGGGGAGGAAGAAATTTTTCCTCTACCCTTCTAGGTTCTTCTGGCTGGTGTAAGAATTAAATTGACACGAGACAGACTAACAGGAGAAAATCAAATTTAATTATGTATGTACGGGGGGCCCTTATATGAGACCCAAAGATAGGCAATTGAGGCTTACATGCTATTCTGAGCTAAGGAGAAGGGAGTAGGGATCTGGGACTTCAAAGGGGAAGAAGATAATTCACAGGGAGATGGGAAGAGCAAATGTTTGGTAAACAAAGTTTTCCCCTGCCATGCAGAGGGTCTTTCTTATGTAAAAGAAAGTTATCTCTGGTAATAGCTCTCTTCCTGGTACAGGCTCCCTATCTAAATCCTTAGGCAATTAAAGGGAGGGTAAAAAGCTCTTCTTGAGTCTGTTGGGCTTTGTTTTCAGCTCAAAATTATCCACAAGCCAAAATGGCACATTCTGGGGTGGCTTGCCCTGAACCCCATTAGGAGTAACACAATTCATTGGATTTACTACAGTCTCACTGGGCTGGAACCCTTCTCTGAATCTGGACTCTTTATTATGTGTTTGATCTTCCCTCTGAGGTTACTAGGTCCTATTTCTTATACTTTAGGCCTCTGGCTGGGTTGCTGTATGAAAGAACAATTTGCCATCATGCCTCACCTATTTTATTCAACTTCCTGTTATTGAGTCTTCCCTCAATTGTGCCTGTTTTTTTTCTTTTTTTTTTTTTTTTGACCTTGTAACTAGGACAGTCCCCTCTGTGCTACAACCTGTTCCCAGCAATCTCTTCTTTCCACAGGTCACTACTGCTGATATTTAATTATACCTTGTGTTCAAATCTTCAATTTATAACAGGGAGTTTAAAAAATCAAAGATTAAATGAGAGGAAAGAGCATATTTTGATCTATTTTTTTTCTGTATGAAACAAATGTTTTTCTTCAGTCATTTATCTTGTTGAGAATTAAAAATTCTACCCACAAAGAGAGATCTCTCCACACAAATATAGAAATAAAGCTTATTTCTTACTGAATAAGAATAAAAGAGTACACACATGTAGGTAGACCACAAAAGACTATGAGCCAGGATGAAATTCTATACAATTTATACAGCAAAGCAAGTACAAAGTTCACTTGAGAACTGAGGTAGCTATTTATTTAGTTAAGTGACTTCCTCCAGAAGAATAAAGAAACTTCTCTTATCTTTCCAAAAAACCAGTGGTTACAGCTGGCACTGTGCACCCAAAGATCAGAGGAGGGGATGAGTGAAAACATCTTTCGTTACTTAGCACGTATCACTTTCATCATCATATTGTTACCAAGCCCTAAGGGACTGGTGACCCGCAAGTGGGTCCTTTTGCCCGGAGCCGCTTGTGCCAATAGAATGAGACTGTGTTCGGAATAGCAGAGCAGAAACATTATTCATTGATCGATGAACAAAGGAGGCAGAGCTCATGCTCTAAAACCCCTTCTCCGGGAAGGGAAGGTGAGCAGGGTTCATATGGATGTGAAGGGAGAGAGGTCTCTGCATCATTGCTTGGGGAGGGGGGCATTTGGGGCATGCGCAGATATTCCCTTCTTACACACAGCACCTTTTGCACACATTTCATTTTGCATATGCACCCTATCACCATCTCGGACCTTTCTGGTTTGGACTTGTTCTGCCATTTGGCCACCTAGCTTTGTTCTGCCTTGGTTCATATAAGCCAGCACAACTTAAAAACAAAGCATTAGTCATGGAAAATGTTTTAGGGACTTCCCTGGGTGACAATGTCTGAGCCTCACAAAGACCCAGTCAAAGAGAAAAAAACCCCATTTCACAGATTGGAAAGACCCCAAAAGGTGACTTACTCAAGAACACACAATCAGCTGGTGTAGTGTTGTGACTCCTTCCTTCTTTTCATCTACCTTTCCTTCATTCCTTCCTCTTTTCTTTTTAAACAATAAATTGGAGTCTATTTTCTTCATATTAAAGTAGAATACTGGGGTGTAACATTGTCAAAATATTGCATTTGGCCACTCTTTAGTTTTCTTCTATATCTTTTGTTCTCATTTTTATTCTATATAGTTAAGTTCATTATAATTTTCTATACATGACTAGGTTTTAAAATTACTGCAACATTTTCAAGTCTGTTTCTCATTATTGGGGAAATTGAATTTTCCCTGAGGGGAAATTATAATTAAACTTGGTTACCTTTTGTCCAGAAAATAATATAGAACTATTTTCTAAGTCAAGTTTTTAAATAAAACTTTCCCACAATTGATTAAAATAAGTT